TCACGTCTTTATGAAAATCACGTCTTTATGAAAATCACGTCTTTATGTAATTCACATATTTATGTAATTCACGTCTTTATGAAATTCACGTCTTTATGAAATTCACGTCTTTATGAAATTCAAGACTTTATGAAATTCAAGTCTTTATGGAATTCATGTATTAATGAAAGTAATTTATGAAATATGCTTTAAGCACTGTAAGAACCTGTCCTCAGGTTCCCAGATGATTCGATGATGTAAAGTCTTGTCACAGAGTCAGGAGGTTTAGGAGCCAGAAGATCATTTTCCTCAGCTGCTGCAGGAATCGTTTCTCTGCCGGCTGGTTTCTTACAGCTGTCCTCGTCTCGTCCTCACTCAGGTGCTGACCTTTGACACGTGGCCGTCCAAAGTGCCGGCGGTCAAAGAGGTGCAGACCGTGAGCGTCACCAGCAGCTGTGCCAGTTACCTCTGTGGAAGCACCTTCTTCAGCCTGAGCTACGGACCCTCCAGAACCGGTATGTGACGGGCCCCAGACGTCGTTGACGCGGGCGTTTGTCAGGAGCGTTGTTTCAGTTCTGCCTGTTCGTGTCTCCTGCAGGAGCGCTCCCTCTGAGCGCCTCAGCAGAGGAGGTGGCAGCAGCCCTGAACAGTCTGTGGTCCATCAGACCCGACTCAGTCCAGGTCACCAAACAGGAGGACGGGGAGGGCTCTCACTACACCGTTACCTTCAACTCTGTGAGAGGTGAGAGGACACGCAGGTCCGTGCACGGCGCCCATCAAAGAGCACTTCGAGTCTCATTTTAATGAGTTCTGCAGGAACAAAGGCTGCCTTTGCTTTTAACGTCCACACGGATGTTGTGAGAGCTGGACAACAAGCATTTATGATCCGGTGACCACAGCTGGACACACCTGGATATCATTGCCATCATCAGGACGAAGTGACCTTTTTACTGACAAAGGTCTCAGCAGCACCGTCTAATCAGCTGAGCTGATGCAACACTTTGCTGTTTGACTTGATGCCGTCGCTCATCTCTGGCCTGATTCTGGTTTTATACTTGTGCTCACTGCTCCCTACGTGCACAGAGTGGGGTGTGAGCGTGTTGTCCACCCAGCGTTCTGGGAGTTCTGGGTTCTTTTACACCTCACAGATCTTTTCTCCAACATATTCCCACAGTTTGATTGACAGTCCTCTGAGCCAGTCGGAGCGTCCATGTCCTAATCCACATCTTGTCCTCTCCTCTTTAGGTGACTTCACTCTCCTTGACTACGAGGTTTTTGGCTCAGACACCAATATCACGGTCTCTGAGGTTACCAAAGGTCAAAGCAACATGGAGACCTTCACTCTGCTCTGGGGGGGCGTCCCCACCAAACCCATCACCTACAATGCGTCTAAGACTGAGGTCTGTAAGGACGAGGACGGTCCTGTTAGTCCTCGGATATGTTGGATATTATTTGCAGCTCACAGTAAATGTTCAGAACTGCTCTTTATGTTTAGCTTGGCACAGTAGAAGCTAACTTTAGCTCGTGTCCCTGAGCAGGTCCAGTCGGCACTGGAGGACTTGATGACAGCCGAGTGTCCGGCTGAGGTTCTGGCCACAGAAGGCACCAACGTGAAATACTTCAACGACTTTGAGAACTCGCAGGTAACGTGAGCGTTTCCTGAATTCTCCCTGCGGTGACTTAGTGTTAACTCTGAACCTCCACAGTTCACTGGCGCTCAGAGCGGGACCCCTGAGGTCCAGACTGGTTTCTGTGGCCGCTGGTCCCTGAAGAACGCTGCGGCTCTGTACCTGCAAACCTTCACCAAAGTGTCGGGAGTCCAGTACGGACCAGTGTCACTGGACCGCCATCCAACAGTAACAAATTCACTTTTCTCTAACCTCACTACACAGGCTTTATTTGACACTTCACACATATATAAGGAT